AAATGGAAGAACTAGCAAAAAGAAACACCAGGAATGGGAGCAGGAAATCGATGGAGCACAAGGGAAGGGGAAGGCATGGATTATCTAATTGTGTGTGTGAAATTCTTGGGTCTGTTTTTGTTTCAAACTAAACCCAGGCACATTACATTTAAACCAAAACTTGCCATGCCCCCCATCTTCATCCTTCCCCCTCCAAAATGGAAATGCATATTAAACATTACTTAAAATCTCAGGCAGTTCCTGTGAAAAATGAATTTCCCATTCTAAACCTTCACTGCCTTAAATGGCTATCCCTACTGAGTGAGTTTTACTATTCTTTCAAATGTTAACTAAACTATTCATTACAAAAAAATCTTAGGGGTTCTTTGGTACAAGAATGTGTGATTCCACCATTCAGAAAAAAAACTTCGGTTTTCCTATTCAAAGTCACACTGTGCTGAATCAGCAGCAGAACTCAAAATGGAACCTAAGACTCCAGTCTCCCAGGGCCTAGTAGCCACTAAGCACCACCTGGTCAAGAGAATACATCCTAGGAGTCAGGACTTGTCACTATCCACTATATAAGATTACATAGGTTTAATATAAAGACAGACTTACTACTGCTTCAGTATCACCAAACCACTTACCTTGGCAATGTCATACATGACAGAGATTTTGAACTCCCAGTCCATGAAAGTGCCATCCGGGTAGGAGATCTTATCATTTAACACATCCTGAGATGAAAAGGAGACATAAGAGATTAGTCCACAGAATGGGAAGATCAGGTACGGGCATCCCTCCCCATCATTAATACAGTTCTGAATAGTGGCACCCCTCTGTTTTACCTAAGAACTATATATACTAGGACAGAAACTAAGTGATTTGGAGGATAGAGAATGGAACATACTTTTAGCTTACACAGAGCTACAAACAAGTGAAAACCCTATGTGCAGCTACAGTGGTTCCTAGTGGCAGAATTGAAACTCTGAATATATTTTGCCCCTGTGAACACTCTCCAGATCCATCCAAGAATATGTGGCAATCCTGTCACCATGCCCTTTCTCCGTAGGACCAACCCAGAGCCCAAAAAAATGAATGAGATTCTTCCACTGACTCAGGAGCTATGTCCACTTATATCTGCTAAGGATTTTATTCCATAATTTCTTGCTGAATAGCAATGAAGTACAGCTGACTCAGTTAATTTGCCACTCCAAGATAAATGCAAATAATGCTGAATTATCCTGTAGTGATCAATAATCAGGAGTTGACAATGGGGAGATGAGGCATGATGCTGGTAGGGAATCAGAACAGCAGCAAAGTAAACCATAGAGGTGAATTATGCTTGAGCAGTGGTTCCCAACCTTTTTAGACTCAAGGCACCCCTGGATAGGCTTGAGGCAGCCCTCAGAAAATGCCTGATCTTTGCTTTCACTCTTTTTTGGCTACAGAAAAATAATAGAGGCTGTTTTTCTGTTCCAGGAAGACCACAACTATGGATTTCTATTTGAAATCTCTGGGATTATTGTGTAAACCATCTTTCTAAATCTAACAGTGCTAACATTGTCTGGCATGCATCCCATAGCAATTTTGGAAGCATCTCAAGGCACCTTGTTGAGAACCACTGTTCTAGAGTCATATTAATGATAGTTTACTATAATATTATTGACTTCCCTTTTGCTCCTCTTATTTTTCCTGCCTTAGGAACTTGTCATGTGGCAAGTTAGCATCTCTTTTTGCAATCTAGTGAAGGGGGTAGCCTGTAAAATTATTTACCCGCAGTGAGCCTCTCTCACAGTACTCAATCACACCAAAGATCATCGCATCTATCTTCACAGTGCCGTAGAATTTGGTCAGGTTATAGTAGTCAATCTGGAGGAGCTGGACCAAAAACAGCGTACATAGTAAACATGAAACCAATTGTCAGTGTAGGAACAGTGTAGGCTATGGATGCTTGCGTGAAGGGTTGCTTAATTTCAGACCCTGAGCTCTCTGTATGTCAATGTGGAACAAGAGGGTGAGCAACTACTGCCAAGCAGCTGTTATTCCAGAGCCTTTTGGTCTTGAGAGATAAGGATGGAGGTTAACTGTTGCTGGCTGCTGTAGGCCAATTCCAGATCATGCTGTGGAGTTTCCACTATTGTCCCTTCAGTAGAACCTCACAATGTCAGAGTATTGACTGGGATATTTATTATAAGTGACTGAATGCTGAAAATTGAGTATATGAAAAAACTATAAAAATGCAGTAATTCTTCATGACAGCACATAATTTGTGTATTTACTTGGACAATTTCAGTTTAGTTTTAAGTTTTTATAGCAATTCACAATGTATCTACATATAAATGCAAAAAAATGTATTTAGCAAATGTATTTTTAAGAGGTGAAGTATCAAAGCCAAATTCTGCCCTATTGCTCAAGTATAACTCTAAGAAAGTCAGAAGAGATATATCTATATTGTCCAGAGCTACGTTTACCTCTTAATAATAGAAAATTTAATAGAATGTTTCACTATCAAATAAATAGAATGAAGTGAAGAAAAACAATGCACCTTATTTTTAAAATATGGGTTAGCAAGGATCTATTACAGTTCATTTCAATCATCTTTAACTTACAGGCCTGAAATTCAGAATCTGAACATTTGGTGAGACCCTTTAACACAAAAAGATGGACACTCATGTTGAGGGAGCTACTGAATTCACGGCAGAAGTAGGCTGCGTGGCAGATCCTTTAAACTTTCAGGTTTCCCCGCACACACACATCCCCCTTGTTGCTGATTGGCTGAGAGGCCTGGGTGTCCCTGCTGCTTGCTGCTGAGTGGCTGGGAAGCAAAAACAGCGCCATATTTAAAACTGTGGTTTTTGCCTCCTTGTCAATTAGGAGCAAGTGGCGGGGCCCCTCTGCCATTGGGCGGGGAAGGAAGGGGGACGCAGGGGGGAACCTGCAAGGTTAAAGGAGCTGCCATGCAGCCAGCTTCCACTGTGAATTCAGTAGGTCCCTGCTCATGTTGCAGTATCTTGTGGAGTGTACACATATATACACACATGCACAAATGAGTCTGGCTGCTGCACTTGTCAGGGAATTACTTCACTAATTGGTTTCATCCAGTCTATAGCGTAGAGTGTCCGCGTGCAAGAGTTACCTTGTTTAGTTCAATCTTTTGTTTCTCTGTGAAATTCCCATCATTGTATTTGAAATCCTTCAAGATAACTACCTGGAAAGAGAGAAATGATGGAAGGAAATCATGGATGTAACACACCAACAATCTATCTTCCCCAGCCTAGGAACTTCATACCATATGTTACATTTCAGAAATAAACTGCTTACTACTTTTGCCCTTTGTTCATATCTTTATCAACTAATAATTAATGCAGTTCTGTTACCTTTACTTACATTATGTTACCAAGATTTACTAAGTAGACAGTAAATGCTGTACTAGGCCTGACTTGGAAAGCCTTTACTCACATGTGTAGATTTAACTTGGGCAAATATTTTAATAGTTCCATTGAAATCCATAGAACTTCTCACAGAAATATGTCTACCCTTGTCCATCTAGTCCATTTATCTACCTCTTGTCACATCAAACACTGTCTATCTGGACCAGATCAGTGATTCACCAAGTCCAAGATTCTTCCTTTGGGAGTTGCCACTGCTAAGAGCCTGAAAAGAAAATGACCTCCTCAAGTTTTTCGTAAACTCAGACAATTTTGCAAAGCTGAATGGGAATTGGAAGGGGAATTGTTTCCTGACCTCTAAAGAAAGGTGACTGCCTTTTACAGACCTGTCTCCTTAGAGAAGGTAAGGGGAGCACATACATTGTAGTCATCTTACTTTCTTGTCATATTTGCCTTGGCGCAGTCTCTGGGCTGTGTCACGCCGTCTATCTTCATCAATCTGGGAGTAAAGAAGGATCATTAGCCAGTAGTTATAACATACATCCCTAGCAAACACCAGACTGCAGAGAGAAAAAGTGATCCCAATGTGTGTCACTGTCTACGAAGGCATTTCTCTCTGTACAGCAGCTGTGAAACTCCACAGCATGCAGTCACTGTTCATGACAATCCCAAATGCCACCCAGGCCTCATCCTCTGAACAGCACTACTGCTGTGCCCATCAGTGTTTTATAAACAGAACAAGGATCAGCATCTTTCTGGAAAGGGACATCATTTGTACTACTCGTGATGCAGGTGCTCAAGGAAAGAAACTAGAAACCAACCTTTTAGCTAATTCATAGTCATATAAGGCCTTAATGTTTGGAAAAGGACTGGTCTTACTTTATTAAATTTTGATGTTATTGGCGATTATGCTTTCTTCTCTTCTATACTTTCCATGAAAGTCTCAGGAGTCAAGACAGCAAGCAGGCTTTGGCCCCCAACTGGCCCTGACTACCAGAGCAGGCCTGGTGTCATTAGGCCCCAGTTGCCTGCATGGAAATGGCTGCATGGCTGTAAGCAGCTGACCTCTCAATATTCCTGAAGACTATGCAAAGGGACAGATATCTCTTTCTAGCCCTGGGCTCCTAATTCCTAGTTTTCTGACTCCTGTCAGCACCCAACTCCAGCCTAGGTCCTGCTTTCTGACTGCTGAATCTTTGCTCCTGCCTCCAGCCTCGACCTTTGCTTCTGTTCTTGATCCCCTAGTTTGTGCCTCTCATTCAGGCCCTTGACTTCTGAACTTACCTTCTCCTGACTCCCTAAATCGAGACTCTCTAGTGTCAATCCCCAATCAGCCACATCAGTCATCCTCTCACAGGAAGGTGAAAAGACAATGAAACAGTTCTAACAGATACTGCTACCACCCTTCTCAGCAGAATGGTCATTGTTTGTCCAGCATAAAATTTTTTCGGTGAAGAGAATCAGACTATCCACTCAGAACACCAAGTCCCTCCTACCTTCAGGCTGACAGGGCTTGTCTCATTGGTCTCCAGAGGCATGATCTTGTCAGGTGGTATGTGGAACCACTTCTTCTGCCGCAGTTCATTATCTCTCCTGTACTTCCTGTGAAACAAGCACACCTGTTCAGAACATCTTGCCAAATGATGGGCACTCACTACTGAAGATTGTGAATGGGAATCCTGGAGTGCTAGAGAGTGCAAACTCCCATTTTTACCTCCTCATACATCCAAAAAGAGGATGCTGGCCCTACAGCACCCAGCTGTGAGGCCATTGCCTGCTCCCCTTCCCCCTGGCTTGGGAGAAGTCTGAACTATCTGGCTTTAGGGCCAGAGATTTGGAAGTCGGCACAGAATGGCTAGCAAGGTTGTTGCCTCATTTTTTCACTCCCAAACCCAGACTTGAGAATTATGAGTGAGTCTGCAGTATATAACACAGTTTTTCTCCTCTGTGTTTCTAAACATGCTCTGCTGAAGTTCCAAGAGACAGATGTAGATCAGAGGATCTGCTGGAAAGAAGCTGGTGGCACAAATGAGTTGTGTTAACCAGCAAAAGCAAGAAGCTGGGGGTGGGGGGTGTAGGACAGAAATAAGATGCTTCTGAATGGTCCTTGTCTCTTGCAGATTTCCTTCTAATAGCAGGGAAACAATTCTGGAAATTGGAAGATGAAATATACTGTTGCTTCCACAGGAATAGGAAGGAAATCCTGTCCCTCTCAAAAAAAGAATTGCAAGGAAACTGTGAAACTCACTGGAATTTTCACTGCTCTGTGCAGGTCATTGCTGGGTTAGAGAATCTGGGATTCCCAAAACAGTTAGAGGGAAAGCTGAAGAATCCTGTACACAGATTAGCTTCTGGAGAATGCTTTGGACACTGGAGAATCCTGACATACGTATTTCATTTTGCTAACAGAGTTTAAGTGCCCCACTGCTAAATGGAATGGAAGGAAATGCCCATTTTCTACAGTCCAGTTCTTTTCTGAGTCGTTTGGAAAATGGGGTTACCACTGTCCCATCATAATGTGTCAGTAGGAGCATCAGTCAAAATGCTAGAAAGCTATGATACCACAGGATCTAGGACTCATGCTGTGTCCCCTGAATTCCCACAATCAAAAAGGAACTTACCTCATGATGATTAGGAAAACCTGAAGTTGTGGAAAACTCCTGTTTCCTAAGTTTAATAGACTACCCGGTGAGCCAGCAATAAACAAATTAATCCAAGGAGAAAAGAAAAATCAACTCTACTTGCTTGCAACTAAGCACATATTGGACTGGACTGATATCTTCAATGTCTAATATTGGTTTTGTATTTTTGAGAATTCTGATTTTATTCCTACACAGAAGTCAGAACTACCCAGGGCAGTGCACAAACATTACAAATTCTATAAATGGGGTGATATGTGAGAAATCATGGGAGACTGTTCATTTTCTTCCTAGGAGTGCTGTTATCATTTTTCAAGTGAGTAACTTAGTTGAGCAGGAAATGATTGCAAAATCAAATCTAGGTGCTGGAAAACTCACTTTCAGCTTACCAGCAGGCTGCTTGCCAAGATTAAATTTGGAATCTGTGAGACTCCCAAGGTTAGCTCACAACCAGTGTCTGCCCCAGCCAGACCTAATGAAAACTTATCCCCACAACTGTGCCCTGGGAAACCACTGATTTGGTACAAGGAATTGCTTCCAGGTAGGTAGGTGTTCGACTGGCTGTAGGACTCAGGGGGTACATCTACATGAGATGTTTACTGTGCAGTTGGTTAATTAGCTGTGCAGTAAATGTTGCGCATTTACACGTGCACCCCTGTTGGGCCAGAGTAAACTAATTTACTCTGCAGCAGGACAGCACTTGTAAATACAAGTAATATTCTGCTGCAAAGTAAAAAACTCCACAGCACCACACATGTAGATGCTGCCCCAACTGGCTGGGGCATGAGGATCCTTCAGTGCAGGGCTGCCTGCTGGCTAGCCCCATGCTGAAGCACCGTCATGCCACAGCCAGCCCCTTCACAGCACGTTGAGCCAGGGGGAACAGCCCCAGGCTGGCAGGCCGACCCCTTGGACCTCCTGATGTTTGGCTCATCTCTCTTTTCCTGTTGTTCCTGACATCTGGCCATGTCCCTAGTCCCTGCTCCTGGCCTTTGGCTTCCCTCCTGGCCTCTGGGCCATCTACATCCTAAGCTGTTATAAATGGCCCTCAAACTAGCTTTCCCTCCAGCCCTGGCCCTTGCCTCATTCCTAGCCCCAGATTGTCTCCCTAAGTGGTAGGCTTTAACTCCCATGTCCCGACTACCATATTATCAAGTGTAAACAGGATATTAACTGACTGATGAATGCAAATGTATAATCTCTCTTCTTCCTTGATAATCAAAGTATGATCCTCTTCAAACTCTGACTAAGCTGTTTGGGAGCTTCCCCACGAATAAAGGGTAAATTCCCTAGAAATAGCAAAAACACCAGAGTTGATATGAAGGAATCTGCAGGAATTTCTTCCATATTAGAAGTCTTCAGAACCCGAGTCATACGTGTGGCAGAACAGAACAGTCACCAGAGGGATAACACTGCTCTTGGCAGCCAACCAAAGAAGTCTAGAAATAGGCCTTGTCAAAGTCCTGCTATCTCTTCAATGGCTTCTCCAAATAAAGACAGATTAACATTATTAATCTGTTTGCAAGTTTGGCCTTAGATTTAGCAACAAAAAAACTTTCTTGTTTCTGTGTACTGTTGGCCATACATTCTGTGTACTGCTGGGTTGGACTGTTTGTTTCAGCTTGGATTCAGGCATATGAAGAGTGTTAGCTAACCCAGAAAGCTGGTCTAATCAAAATGGAAAGCTATTTAATGCCTGCTCCTAATCAGGTTTTCAGGTAACCTGATTTTCTCACTGCCTCTGAAATCCTTTGATCTGTGGAAAAAGTATTTTTTGAGCTAGTAGAGGTAGAAAGTCAGTGTTTCTGAAACCTCCAAAATGGATGACCCTGAATCTTGTGAACATGAGAAATAGATACAGTGGAAATGGGTTGAAATTTTCTTGTCTAAGAATGGATGTTTATAATAGATTTCTATCTCTGATTTTTTCATCATGATAGAAGTTGTACTGAAATCTAATCAGAAAATGTAATCATAAAAAGAGAGCATAAGCCAGCTCTAAGCAGCAGGATCATTGTGGGAAAACAATGAGAGGCAGAGTAGGGCCTCAAGACTCCGACACCACAACTTTCAGGTGTTTTGATTTGTATGATGATACAAGACTGAAGCAGCAGAAGGAGGGGAGAAGAAGAAATTGGTACCTCAGCACCAGTAGAGCGATGACCAGAATCAGTATTACAGCCCCTGTGAGTGTAAAGACAGCAATAGTCAGGATGTTTGGGCCTGTAGAGGAGAGAAATGGGAAAGTAAACAATCTTAAAGAACAGTGAGAAAAACCATTGTATTAAAACACACACACAAATTAGAGCTATAAGTGTAACTGGGCGGCAACTCATCTTAGAATCACTGACAAAATCCAGAAACAACCTTACAGTTGACATGGTGCCTGTCCCCTTCCACCAGCAAAGAGAAGTGCAAGCCTGAACAGTGCTGTCCCATGTCACCAGGCAAGGAGTGTGCTTTCATTTGCAACACAGGTCCATGTGAGTATAGCAGCAGTAGGTTTCAGTTCCAACTAGAAGAAGCTTCCAGATGTCCTCATCGTTAAAGAGAAACGGCCAAGCAATCTAGGATCACAACCTAATATTTCCTAATAACTATGTTTTAAAAAACAAAGGGGCCAAAGTTAGTGGAAGCTAAGCAGGGGTTTGATGATAGCAATTTGGAACTTATGTCCTACCTTAGATATGTAGATCTAGGCACACAACCCCTTTCATAGATCTAGGCTATAACTTCTTGGCCTTGGTTTTGTTTTGTGTGTCAAATCCCCCAGCCCTCAACTTCTTCATTCAGGAATCAATATCCTTGCTCATAAATACCCCTTTAATAATAAGCTACAGTGGAAAATGTTCAGCATGACAGCGCTTGCCTCCATCTAAAAGGCAAAATATCAGCCCTCCAATAAATAAATCTGTCAAATGACTACATATGAAGTATAAAAAGGCACTTCTCTGCTCCTCCCCTGAAACTTGAATTTAGTTTGTAATAATGCACATGCTTCCAAACTTCCTTTAAAAAAAGAAAAAAGACTGGCTGATATTTGAAATGGAAATATCACTGTTGTGCCAATCTTTTTCCTTGGGATCTGCTACCATCTGGTGTCCACTGGCATTATAGCATGCAAAAAGGAACTACAATACAAATTAACAGTGTGCATTTAGTAAGTTCATACAGAACCAGAAAAAAATGTTTATGTCGAAATATATACCCTATCCAGGTATTAGCAGGATGGCATTAATACTCTCTGAGTAATAGAAAGATTACAAATAAAAGCCCTAATTTCAAAGGATGTTAGCAGGGAGGATGGCAACATTGAGTTGGTTGTTGTATATTATCTACCAGAGAAGTGCTATGCACCAGTTATTGGGTGTCATTATCTCTATAAAAGAAAAAGTAGTGTTAACTGGAAAAGTTTTGCTAAGAAACTTTGGTGGTTAATGGTAACTTCTTTAACTTTGTCTATACAAAGCCATCCTGTGTTTTTGTATGCATTTGTTTAGGAATCAGACTGAAAAAGGCATTTTTGAACACCTGAATACAGCAAATATTTTGTTTTGTTTGACTAGGCTGCAGAAAATGTGGGTACCTCAGAGGTTAGACTTGTAAACATTGACTGTCTTCTTCACTGTGACTTATCTCACTATAGTAATCTGAAAATAGTGGTATATCCTTAATCTTGAACTAAGCCTACCCTTTTTTCTATGCATTTCAGACTTCTAGATGGTTCAAGAATCTATTTGTGGTGCTAAAACACAAGATGTAATGTTTCTATTATGGAGAAAATGAAATTCTGTTTAAAAGGTCAGGTCTCTTATTTCATCTCCTTCAGCCTTTTTTTTAGCACTTTAGAGGTGGTAGGAAAATGTGAACATAAATGCTGCTGCATTCTGTGTACCCTTTTACTGAAAATGGACTCATGACTAGCAAGGGGATGAGTCACTTGTACCTTAGCTGAGTTATGCCTGGCTTGTAACATTCCCTAACATTAGGCATGCAGGGTGGTCACCTAGTAGCAGGCTTTAGATTAATGTGTTAGTTACCATTATGCTGAACAGTCAGGCTACTTCTTTGTTCTTGCTGAAACCATGGAGCCACTGTTTTCCACAAAAGATTCAGTGGGTGAATGCCTGCAGTTTATATTTAAAGTTTCTATAGGGACAAAAGGAAACTGGATGCCTGGTCATCCTATTGTAAAGAAGCCTGTTCTTCTAGGTCCTGTTTAGCACTATGGTGGGGTTTTGGGTGTAGCTGTGTTGGTCTAAGGACATAGGCAGGCAAGGTTCTTTGAGTAGATGTGATATCTTTTATTAGACCAACTGAGAAGTTGGAAAAAAGTTCTTGGCAAGCTTTTGGGCAGTCACCCTTCTTCAGGCATAGAGAATCTTTGTGTTCTGAGATTCTCTATGCCTGAAGAAGAGTGACTGCGCCCAAAAGCTTGCAAAAACTTTTTTCCAACTACTCAGTTGGTCTAATAAAAGATATCACATCTACACAAAGAACCTTGCCTGCCTGTTTAGCACTAGACATAGACAAGTGTCCATTTAGCAAGTGAATCACCATAAAAGAAATTGTTACTCCAAATCAACAGAATTGTGTTTTAACAGTCATACAAAGACCTCCAGGCTTGACGTTTATGAAGAAGTCACCATCTTAACCAAACTAAAAGGCAAATACTGAGAACATAAAATGTATGTGTGTGGCGGGGGAGGGTGGGAAGGGAGGATGCAGAAAGGGGAAAGGAGATGATTAAGACACACACCAAACATAACAATGGAAGCTAAAGTGGAATTTCCAAAGGTTTGTACTAGTCAGAGGAATCTCCTCTTCCCCGAGTACTGGAGCACTTCTTGGTTCTATAGCCAAGACTTGACCTGGGATACTCATTGGATCTCTGTGAAACTATTAAGAGAACTGAAACGGCCTGGGCCAACTCAGTGAAAACTAGGCTGAACTGGCCTGGATTAGCCTGAGAGGTACCAAGGTCCTGTCCACCAGGAGCTGCTTTTATTCACTTTGCAGCAACTTACTTAAGAAACTTTCTTAAGGTAGAGCTAAGTTTTGTGGCATTCCACAGTGCACTGTGAGTTTTCTGACTTTCCACACCAGGACAGTTCAGATCCTAACGTTGGAAAAACAGGAAATGAGCAGTTCAGTATCCAGGATAAAAGAGATACTGTTACAAGGAGAAAGAAACTACAAACTTGTAAATCCAGGAAATGCCGTGTTAAAATGACGCTTGCCATGCAACCTTAACTCTGCCCCTTGGCCTCTTTTCTGAGCAGTCCCTCAAGTGCATCACAGTACCCTATCACTTCAATAAATCTATTATTTTTCAAGATAGGCTCATCTTACAAGCAGTACATACTCCCCAGGTCAGTGGTGTTGCCCAGGGTACAGTGTATAAATATAGGTTCTGATCTGGATTTGTGCTGGGCGTGCAGAAAATGGTAGGTCTACTTAAGGTAGGGTAAAGTGCTGATATACTCTCAGCTCTTATTGTCATTCCTATTGGAGCAGAATTAAGGGGGAACAGTGGTACTGTAAAGCAAGTGCCACTTGAAGCCTGCAAGAGCATCTTAGAACAGCAACCAGTTTCAGTGGGTATCTCACCAGTGCCTGGAATATCACTAGGTAGTTTGTGGTTCCTCCAGGTGAAAAATGGATTGTCCGTCTTCACTTCTGTCTTATTCCGATGAGTGTCAAACTGCAGGAGGATCTTGAACTGTGGGTGTGAAGAAAAGCCCTGTTAGTGTTTCATATTCTCTAACCCCTGCTTCAAGCTTCCCCATAAATGTACTTTGTAAACTGAAAAAAACAAAGGCCTGTTTCCCCTTGATGCAGTGTTTCTTCTCTGGCCCAGTTCATACATCTGTCTGCCCTATTGCCCTAATTCTGCTTCAGTCCTTTCAGAATAGTAATAAGGTTGTCCCACGCAGTCTCTTCTGTGCTGCATTGTCCATCTATCAAGTTATCAGGTTGAACTCTTTCCTTAAACAGAAAACTCTGATATGCCACCATTTCAGCTCTGGCTCCCCTTCATTCTCTTGACATGCTAGCTCAAGGCCTCTTGCTTTTTCTTTCACACTTCACCATAGAGCACTCCTTTCATGGATATACATACTTCACTTGTATCCATTGATGTGTACATTAACGTCAAGTTGACATCAAGATCTCCAAATTCATCCACAATCACAGGACCACGTGCACCTGTGGACACAAGGAACTGGTCAATGAAGGACTCTGCCTGAGCATTTCCCCCAGGAGCATGAACATGTAGCAGAAAGAGTGAGGTAAATGAAAAGGCCTCTGAGATTTGAGATTTTCTCCTTTCCTTTCTTTCCACACATACACATCTGAGCACCCTTTTAAGTATCCAGTTAGGCTATATCTATAACACCCCTGTGCTGCTTTAACCATGGCAGGAGAACTAAGCTGTCTGGGCCCCACAGCTCTGAGGGCAGGAGGAGTTGGTACTGCTGCCAGAGATCCACCATTTGACAGAAGCTTTGCTGCTTTGCTGCCAGAGCTGAAGCCACATCAAAGGTTTTGCTGGGAAAGCTGTATATACTGTGACCTTTTTTTCACACCACTAGGTAACACTTCCAGAAGAACCTTGTAATATATACAAGGGCTTGTTCGACCTCTGCTTCCCTCCCCCCACAACCCCACCTTAAAATGCTGTATTTTTCTCTTTAAATTGTGAAGTTGATGCTGGTGAAAGGAGTTGAACTGACAGCACTGAGGAGTGAAACCCTTCCTCACTACAAAAAATATACACTTGCATAAAAACAGGTCAGCTTTTCTTCAATACATTAACCCTGCCAATGCGCCTCAAATTACCATCTCTAAAGGTAATTGCCTGACTCCATCCTTGGGCTCAGTCTGTCAGTAAGGAGGAAAATAGGGACATCATTTATGTTCCTTTCAAATAGCCTCACTTAGACTAGTTTTCCATTTTTTTGAGGGACACCTATTTAGCACTAATAGCTTCCTGTACCTTACCATTCTGACTGTACCTATTCTTGCCCTCCTGCTTGCTTGTGTTGGGGACATCTACATTCTGTAACTCTGGATATGCCTCAAGTGCAATCTAAATAATTCAGGGGGAAATCGGAGGTGACTTACCTCTGTTCTCAGACATTAGTCAAAAACAGTGGCTTCAGTGTTTTTGAAAGTCACAGCTTTCTTGATTTCAGGGTCTATTTGACCTGACTTGTTTCTTGGAATCCTCACCTTAAAATTCTCCTTTTTAAAGTTCAGTGTCATTGTTCTGGTTTTTGGATGGATCCTCCCCCTTTCCACGTGAGGAAATTAAGAGGGGTATTTTCTTGATCAATTTTACAAATGGCTACGTGTTATTGACTGCCCATACTTTCTCTCAACCAGGGCATTATTCAGGATAATGAAGAACTAAATGCTTACTAATATTTCCAATGCTTTGCATTTCCAGACTGTTCGTATTTAACCTAAGTGTGTAATTGTGAACCATAGTCCCAGAATAATTTTTATTTGTCCTAAACGAACCTAGAATTGCAACATATTTTAAGAATGTACTCAAGAGGTGACTGGTGAATTCTGATATTCAAATCAAGAGTCGAGATAACCAGCTCATCAAACCAGTTAAGACAATTTGGGAAAGGCCTAGAAACTTCCACAAGTTTGTTGAAACCAGATACAATATAAATAGACACATGAACAACACATGCCCCTGGCGGCTGGGGGTGCACAGCAGCAGTGGGAGCACGGCAGCACTGGCGGGAGGGTGGCGACAGTAAACGGGAGCTCCTGCAGATGCTGCCGGCGCTGTCAGCTGCGGGGTGGGGGCGGGGGATGGCAAGCACCTACCAGGGGTCAGCGACCACCCACAGATGCTGCTGCCAGTGTCAGCAGCAGCTATTGCGGACCGCCTGCAGACACCGCCGGCAGTGTTGGTGGTGGGATGGCAAGTGGCAAGTGCCCACAGGTGCCCCCGGCACTGTTGGCAGCACCTTTTTGTAGGGGATGCACCGTCACGTTCAGGGGGTGCATGTGCACCCACATGCACCCCCTACACATTGCCCCTGAACAGACACCTCTTGAGCAGCCCCTTTGATTCCTGCTCAACCCAAAGTTTAAAACCAACTGCCTGGGAGGGGCAGTGGCATTTCTATTCAAACAATGCTGTGGGAGTCAATTTACTTCATGTCTCTTTCTGTCTGATTCCTGCAGATTGCTCGTACTCCACAAGTGTCAATGGCCCTCTCTCCTTTTGAATTGTCTTGATAATCCATTTGTCAAGTTATCCTTTCTTCTGAAATGTTGCTGTCTGTTAGCTATTCCTGGTAATATCTCTTTTCTAGTTCACAGTTTTCTAGTTTTAGCTAAAAACATAAACTCAGATATGGTGATATTAACTCAGGTGAATGTTAACTTAGGTGTGGCAATTACTGACAGTGAAGTGTGGGATGTACCGGTTTCCCTTGATTTATGAGTGTTCTTTATATGTGAAATCGCTCTTATGCGATGAGCATACTTAGACCCATAATTTGTTATATGCAAGGTAAATTCACTCTTATGTGATCAGCATAGACCCCCCCCCCCACAACTCCCATCCAAGCAGATAAGTCTGTGGGGGAGGGGAAAAGGCTATGGCCCCACTCACCCCAGTCCCGGCTGCAGCGGCCCTGGGAGCAGCCGGAGCCAGCTGCCTGCAGCCACTGGGCTGCACCGTGCTCTGGCTGTCCTCCCTGCGCCTGGGCTCCACTTGTCCGTACTCACCTCTGCTCCTGGGCTGTGCTGCGCCATGCCATGAGACAGCTGGTGTTGGCTGCTCCCGGGGCCACCCCAGCACAGGCTGGGATGAGTGCGGACAAGCAGACTCCTAGGCAGCGTGGGTGCAGCACTCACCTCAGCCCCGGCTGCAGCAGCCCTGGGAGTGGCC